AAAATATCCAGACGGTTCAAGGAACTGGATATTTAATTTTATATGTTATACACACAAGCCCACGCGCACTCACACAGTCACACTTACTCAGTCCTACACATAAATATATATATACAGTCATAGATTTAGGAATTCAAGTTACAAATTAACAGAAGACCATTCTGTTAATCTGTGACTGGATATGTTTATCCATCCATCGCCTATATTGGGCAGTAGAATGTTTCAATGGTAGTATAATTTGCAAAGTTTTTTTTTTTTGTAATTTTTTGTCTGGGTGTAAGTCTGTTTTCAGTAATAATTGTGGTGATGTAGTGCGGCGTTTTCTTATTTTCGAGATCGGTCAAAGTGTTTATATATATATATATATATATATATAGTTTATGAAAAACTAGATAATCCGTATGGGTAAACCTAAGGAGGATAAAATCCAGAGAGCTCAATGTAAATCCAGAAAAAATAATTTAAATAAAAAACAGACTACATTAAGGTTCCATGTAATAAATTATTTCACCACAGCCCTTTTAAAAGGACTGCGGATCATCAGACTTTACTTCCAAACAAAAAATGAAAAGAAAATTTACACATTTTTGACGGGCCGTATTAAATATATGTAAATTAACGAATTAAGGAAGTGAGGGTGGGGAGAGAGAAGACATGAGTGAGTTAGTAGATATTGACACATATAAACGGATAACTTAACGAAAGTTATATATTGATATCGAAGGGGTAGAGAAGAAAAACCCATAGAGAGAAAAAGAGAAGGAAGTTAAGAGAGAAGATGTCACTAATTTTCTTTGTAAAAAAAAGGCTAGAAACAGACGCTGTTATTTTGTTTTACTTTGAAAGTGTTATTTTGGGGGTTCATAAACATTATAATGTTTGGTATAAATTTGAATGTCTCTAAACTGTGTACAAATAATTCAATTTGATGTTTGTTAGTGTTTTAAATATTTTTTAAATTTGGAGGATTTTCTATGAAATAGTCGATTAGAAAAATATTCATAGAAAATACATTAAAAGAGTAAAATTTTATTTTAAAATATAAGTTTACTTCTAGCAATCTTTTTTTTAAACTCTTTAAAAAATTTTATTATTGTTTATTAAGTTGACATCTCTATCCGTTTGAATTTTGTTCGTGAATTTAACTCGTGACTATTCCTAGATATGATAATCTCTTTTACTTAAATTTTATTTAAGTTAATATGGGGTAATATTTGAAGGTAATATTAAAGATCTAGCTCTGTCATATACTGTATACACACCCATGCAAATATCACATATACACACGTTCCTTTACATGTTCAATATATATATATATATATATATATATATATATATATATATATATATACAGAAGAGTCCCTCATATCAGGAATCCCTCATATTCGAATGCCTCATATCCGGAATCCTGCATATCATAGCTAAAGGCAACCGGACGTCTAGCCACACTGATGAGCTGTGATACAGCGAAACACTCTGTCTGGGGATGACAATATATATATATATTATGGATATCAGGAATCCATCATATCTATAATGCCTCATATCTCGAATATCGCATATCTGGACATGATTTTGATGTGTATATTTGAACTATTTGGGTGATTTGTAATGAATTTCAAAATTCTGTTTTTCAGGAAATTTACTTTGGATAATTGCTTATGCTTATTTCACCCTAATGGCTTGTATTGGTGCAAAAGATGATGGGAATAAGAGGAAAAAATTACAACGAGACACATATGCAACAAGATAGCGATGATATGCATGATTGTGATGAAACAAGGACTGAAATTGAAAAAGCTAATGAAAAAATATTCTAAAGCATTATTACAATAGAATCCCTCATATCCAGAATCTCTCATATCCGGAATATTTCATATCCGGAATCTCTCATATCCGGAATCCCGCATATCCGGACATTATTTTGATGTGTATATTTGAAATATTTGGGTGATATGTAACTGATTTAATATTTCTGTTTTTCAGGAAATTTACTTTGGATAATTGCTTATGTTATTTCACCCTAATGGTTTGTATTGGTGCAAAAGATGATGAGAATAAGAGAAAAAGAACTACTTTGATGTGATCGCAAAAAGTGGAAATTTTAAACAGACTAGACGCTGGTGAAAGTTTATTGTAACTAATGGCGCTGAGTTCATCATAAGAAAGTCAACATTGTATGATATAAAATCTTCCAAAGAAACTATTCTCCAGCATTCACACTGTCACAATGAATAAGGAAATAAAAAACATATATTTTGATGAAACCTGGATTGAAATTGAAAAGACTATTGAAAAGGTTGTTAGTTTTATAGAAAGAACGCCAGCGTTTAACTATGTTAAAAAGTTAAAAAGTGTCTTTCGTTTAAAAAAAAAATTCAAGAAAAAAAGCAAAAACGAAATGCGGAAAAAGTTGAGAATGACTTTAGAAGAGAAAGAATCATCATGCAACAGTGATTAAAAAATCCTCGTTACATTATTTGTTTTGCATACGTGGCATACTTAATTCAATGAATTTTCATTAACATTACATAATTTACTTCTTTTTCCTTAAAATGAATTCCGTTATATTTCACTCACCATTAGCTTATTTTGTTTACTATAAAACATTGAAAATAAATGTTAAACCTGATTTCAGTTCTTTTATTTTAATCTAAATATAACCCCGCATATTTGTAACCAATTCCTCATATCCGGAAGGCCTTCTTAGTCCGGTTGTCAGGGAATCTACTGTAAATCCGGAAAATTAACAGTTTCCTGGACA